GCTTAAATACTACACCTGTTGTTTTTGCCTATATTTATAATTTTAGATCAAACATTAACAATTAAGATACTTACCCTCAAACAGACAAAAAATTTCGTTTGTAAAACTTCTACCCAACACAATAAGTGGAATAAAATGGACATAAACCGACAACATGAAAAAGGTATAACTCACCGCAACATCACATGGACAGATGTACGCTCGTTGGGCACCATATATACCTCACCAACTACAACCCATCTTTCCTAAGATAATATGATGAACTTATATCCATAATGTTGCTGAGCAGTTAATATTATCAACTCCTGTCGGAACAGCTGAAATTCATAAACCTTCCTAAAGCGAAAAAAATACCCACAAGCAGTAGAAATCCATTAATTAATGCATCTAAAGCTTATTTATGTATTTTACTCCCAACAATGACATTGCAGATCAAATGAGATAAACATATCACTGATTTCAAGATAACACATCAATGAACTATAATTCAAGGACTCTGCACACAACAAAGTTATGTATGAAAATTGACTTCAAGTTTTATTTTTTTTCCCAGGCACATATAACCCATCCACCAAAGACCTGGTGATTTTTTTTATTAATGCGAAGATAATACTTTTGTATTTCCTGATGTCTTGCACTCACTGACAATCTAGCAGATTTTTCCAACTGTGCACAGAAATGAATGTACATAAGTGAAAAGGATGTTTTATACTATTGGGATTAACATTTATCAAGTGTATGTATAATTCCCAGCGTACATGTAAAATATATTTTGCTATCGACTATAAATTGTGACTGAATAATATGATTCTATTTCTGTAACACAATTTGATGATGCCTGTAAATTGGCGTCCCTCATGTGTACTGTACTATGAGAATAAATTTATTTATTTATTTAATGGTCTCAGCGATAAAAGGAAATTTTTCCAAAGAAATGTCATTAGAATACAAATGATCTAGATAACTAATTATGTAATGTAGCAAGCCTTAGTCTGGAAGAAAGTAAAATTAAATTAAATAAGTGGATTGTGTGACACAGTTGTGGTGATTGACAATTTCTATCTCTGTATTGTTTAAATAATTACTGTTGATTGTTAATATGCTTCTTATATGAATTGCATTAGAATTCCGCTAAATACAAATTCCTGAATTCCGCCTTCTCTGTGTTTTGTTTGGATTCTTGTAATTCGGTCATCTCGAAATACTAATACTACGATTACAAATAATTACTACAACAGTGTAACTGAAAATGACAATCTATAACAAAAGGTGGTTTGCCACCTACAGAATATTCGCGAGTCGTGCTGAGAGATTCCAAACTAAACTTCATCCAACCGTATAAGCAACGGCGGTTTACATGTTCAGTGCTTAAACTCTGCACACTAAAACCGTTTATTCAGTCATTAAGTCTACAATGGACCAACATGACCTTATCTAGTTTTCGCATCCACGATCAAATTTCTTTCCTGTTATAAAACTACGATAAGACTGCTTAAAAAAGTGGAATAAATATATCACTGATCTCAACATAATACATCAATAAACTTTAAGCCAAGGGTGCTGTTCACAACAAAGCTATATAGGAGAATTGACCTCAAGCTTTTATTCCCCAGATGTTTGTATTACACTCATCTGATGTCTGGGTTTTTTTTTTGTTAATGCGAAGACAATATTTCTGTATCTCTTTGTGTGTTACACAAACAGACTTTATAGCAGACTGTGCCGACTGACTCTAATGTCAGAAAGAACAACCAAACTGTAAATTCACCATACATCATAATATGTGTAATTTATATAAAAACTTATCCATGCCTGTACAATTGGTATGTTCCTGCATAAACAGGAATAAATATATACTATATTATTATTGACTGTCTGAACACCGGATGGGTAATTTTCGTTTTTTTTTGTTAATTATGTCGTTTTCTTCTCTCACTCCTATTAAATTTCCACCCCTTGTATACCACTGTTGTTAACTTGACCCTCATTCAAATTTTAATTGAAACCTACTCATAACCGCTAATTATATCACTCCACTTAATTCGTTAATTTTATTTTATTTTCTACCTGATTACCACTTTTCATATTAGATAATTTATTCTTATCAAAGAAATTTACAATTTTAATCACACATTCAAATGAACTGTAGTCAAGATTTGACAGAATAGTTCTAAAATATTTGGGCGCCGAGTGAGAAGTAGACACTTATGAAAAATTATATTTGTAAAGTCTCAGCGATATTGAAATGAATAATTTTAACGTTTCGTTCACCAATCTGGTCCGAACTTCTTCAGGGAAATTAATCGAAATTAACATAACAGGGGTTTATATATAAAAGGAACATCTCTCGTTTTAAAAAACTGACAACTCCAGTAGGTCGAATAAATCAGCTCAGTTTTCAGAAAGAAGACAAAGTAATAAGTTTGACGGGGTTGTTCAGCTACACTCTAATCCTGAACACCATAATTTTGAAAATACGTCTAACCATAAAATTCTAGATACTAACAGTTTGAACAGACATGAAGGTGTGATGTTAGATGACGCATAGGAAATCCTGAATAATAAATAAGAATGGATATGTATCACTAACTAATAATACTTGGTCAAAGTTCCTGACTGTCTATATCTACTTATGGAGACGTTAAGAAATTGTTTTACAACTGTTTACCCGCCCAGACACACATACTGTGTTTAAAGTGTTTAACAAAGGTAGATCAATATTTGTAAGTCTGAGGTCAAATTTTGATCACAACTCGTACAATTTTGTTTATTATACTTGTTTTATGACTCATGATTGGAGAAAGTTTCTAAAAATAAGAGATGTTCCTTTTATATATAAACCTGTTTTGTTAATTTCGATTAATTTCCCTGAAGAAGTTCGGACCAGATTGCCGAATGCAGGAAACGTTGGAGTTATTCATTTCAATATCGCTGCGATTTTACAAATATAATTTTTTTACAAATGTAATCACACATCTTTGGAAATATTCCTTTTGTCGCTAAGCCCACTTTTCTATATGTGGGATTATGCAGCCTGAGAATGATATCGTTGAAAAGAGTTATACTTCGCTGAACGTCTCTCCTCATATATGACTCAATGGGGATATTTAAGTTGCTTAAATGTTAGGGAGTTAATAACAACGATAATAATCTGCTTTATTTCAAAAACATTACTAATAGTACATAATGGAATTCTCAGTATTTGTCACAATATTACATATTCATTATGTAGTCATGTGTCTTCTGTTCTCTTTCTTCTTCTATGCCTTAGCTTGCTCTTATGAAATGAACTTTGTTAAGTATGTGGAGGATCTAACTGTGTCAGTGCCTGTTAACTCCCAGCTAGAGTGTACTAAGATGATCAGCTTTCGATCAGGAGTTTGCCAATGGTCTTCGTCTAGTCGTCTCAAACTAAATCCTTCTAAATGTCAGACTGTTAATTTCAGTTTCCGATGTATAAGAAAGTTAAATGATGCTGTTGGCTCCTATCACCGTTGTAAATTTGATGATATTGATATAGAAATCAAGTCTGAAGTTAAGTATCTTGGATTAATTCTTTCTTCTCACCTATCCTGGTCTTTCCATGCCTTAGCGATTTCTAAAAGGATATTTCATCGGGTTTTCTATATTAAGAAGTTAAGGCACTCAGGCATAACTTAACCCCTCCCCTTACAGTTTGTCATATTTTGTACAACTCTGAAGACTGTCAGTAGGGCGAGTGGTATTCCGTCTCATTGGGCTATATCGTTGACATCGTCACTGAGAGGTATTTGATTTCACGCAACAAAATTTGTTAAGGGAATTTCGTCAGACTATAAGCATCCAATTTACCCGCAACTTTCACCTTGTATCTCCTCAGATAAAACTAGAAGTCATTTCAAAAGACTTAATGCACGTACGTCTATGTATATAAATTCCACGATACCATATTAGACACGTACTTTATGTGATGAAAATATTGTTAGCCATGAACTAACTAACCTTCTTTGCACTACTAAATGAACCATTTCCTCCACCCTTACAACATCAACCTTTATTGTTACTGTACTTCTTATATATATAATGCTCTCAATATTGTTTTATTTGTTTATGTTTTCATATGTGTGAACATCATTTAACCTGTGTTAATAATAATAATTTTGTATTTCCCCTCACCATACTATATCAACAAAACATTAGATTCAATATTCTATAACATGCTAAAATTCTCAGACCGAACTGAGAATACTGTTTTTTTCCTTCACGTTCTCCAGTGGAACATAAGGCTTCAAGCTAGTCGCTTTAAGTTTCTGTAGCAGTGGTGATCATTTTTACAAGATGGGGTTGGTAGCCTCATGCCCAACCTTTCCTCTTTACCAGCATTATTTCTGGCTTAGCAAGGTAAAGAAGTGCGTCTGTGGCTGGGAATCGAACCCGGACCATGTGCATGGTCGGCGAGAGTCCCAATCGCTATGCCACCGACGCACAAGAATACGACAATGCTGTTTAAGACCTATTATTATTATATTTATCATTCTCGCTTCGTACTTCGAATATTTTTGACTTTATATCGTAAATATGGACAAATTCGCTTGGTTAATTTTGTTTTAATTCTATTTATATTTTGAGTAAATTAGATGCAATATTGTGACAAATGCTGAGAATTCCATTCTGTATTATAAGTACTGTTTTTGTAGAATAAAGTAGATTATTATTGTTCAGCTTTCGCACTCCTGAGACGCTCTTGTTGAACTTCGCCGTTTCGTACTAGGTTTAATTTAAGGAAAGATTAGGGTAAGAACGCATAGATGAATACATGTATGGTTTAATTATTTCACCGATATTGCAATGCAGAAGTGAGAGACATTTTCACCAAAGAAAGATAACCTGAGTAACAGTTTCAGGTTTGTCTATTCATTCCTATCACAAATACATGAATTTTCTAAGTAGAAGCCAATGTCTTCATATGATTGGTGCTCTCAAGGTCATTCACACTTGTTTCTTTTCCTGATTAAAGCTTAACTTTACGCTCTCCGTTTGTGTTCATGCATCAAATCTAAAACCAACTGAGAATATAAACCAATGAAATTGTCCAGTTCTCTATCATGTGATAATGATGTTTGTATTCATTAAGACACAAAAGGTCATTTCATAAGTGGACTTTGTCTTCGACCATCATATTGGCCAGTCATATCCGTAGGACAAAACAGTCGGTTACACTTAAGTGCATAAATTTGTGTATTATCACTGTTTCTGTATAGCAGTATTTAAAACAAGGTGAGTAATCTTTTAGCTCTATGTAGAAGACGTTTGTATTTATTTCTTTGAGGAAAATATTTAACTTTCATCTGGTTGTCTGACACAGAAAAAACAAGTTTTTAGTTTGTCACGTGGTTTTCTTCAAACGCCGGTAGTTAGGGTTAGTTATCATCTCTTGGTACTGAATTTTTATCGAGGTTTTCTCGAAGTCAATAATATTCGTAGCCCACTTAGCATATTTTAAAACAGTATCTATAATAGCTTATCTGACCAAATAAGACTTTTTTGTATCAAATATTTCCCTGTGTTGAAACAATAATTGGCTAGAAGAATGGGCTCTTTTGTTCACTTGCATGAAATATTCTTTTGTACAAATATAATATGATGAAAGTGACCACTGATCTCATCTGCCATGGGTGTAATCCTGTGGAAAATCATGTATCTCAAGTTAGATTTCGTTACCAGATGAAATTTGTTAAGTTATTAATGAAGGGGCAAAGTTAAACTTTAAGCACCACTGAGTACCAATCAGCGAATGACCTCGAACACGCCAATCACTGGAAGGAGGCAGTTTTGTGTATAGAATACATATATTTATCAAATAAATGCACAAAAACTGTATAAAAGTGTTATAGAGGATACCTTTCTCTCACGTATGACAGAAACAGCTCTCACTTTTAGGTTGCAGTATCAACAGAGTATAATTCCATTGTGGGTAAAATTTATCTTTATAAAGCCTCATATTATGATACAGTGATATTTCCTGAGCAATAAATTGTGGTCGAAACGCCTTCAGTAAATATTCCTGTATAACACTGTGAGACTTTATCAGAATAAATGTTACCCACAATGGAATTATACTCTACCACTGTTGTGCACAAGTTCTATTCTTATATCAACAGAGTAATTTAACCACATTCCATGCATGCAGTTGTTTAGGTCTTCTAAACCTAACAATAACCTTAATCTTTCCAGATCCTAACCCTAACATGAAAATATCCCTAAACTAACTGTAATCTAACTGGAACCAACCTTAAAATGTCGCCTTTATTAGGTTAACCTAACCCTAACTTGTCCTTGGCTTAAACCGTAACTTAATCTTTCCCAAACCTAAGTTGAAACTTGCCAGAAATCCCATTCAATAGCGTAGCATTTCGATGAGCATATTTTTTATTTTTGATTACAGCTTGATTCCCCACTGTATTTTTGGTACAAGTATGGAATTTTCAGCATGTGATATCGATAGGCCAAATTTTGCAGGCCGACCATAAATACCAGGTGTGCATCGGCAGGGGATCGAACCTCGGACCATGTGCATGGTCGGCGAGATTCCTGACCACTGTGCCACCGACGCATAATATTATTCGCCACGTTTCACTAACTTGCTCACTGAGCGTTTCAAGGTCATTTGTGCGGCCTCACTCAAATGGTAATTAGTGATGCTTATAGTTTAACTAAGCCTATCAATATTAGTCCACTGATGTTTATAGACTAATGTCGGGATATATTTTCTAGAATTGTAGTGGAGTTGTCACCTGGGCGATGTATCAAGTGGGAGTGCGCAGGTAGATGGTGTGTATCATGAGTTGTCAGAAACTGGGGATCATGGATCATAAGATTCCAATCCATTGTGTGACTGATAACTTAGTCACCTTTATTATCTGAGTGCACACTGTTGAAGAGGCTTTATCTATGATGAAACAGCTGTCCAATATTTTTTGGTTCGCTTTACAAATTATTGATGGAATCCACCTTAAAGCTTATATCAGGTTGTTGCATCACGGTATTTTTTTGTAAGTAGGTTGTCAGATTGAGGGGCGATTACGTAATAATGAGTGTATGAAATTACAGTTGTGGTTTCTAGAATTTAGTGAAGAAAAGGATCACATAAGATTCATAATGAACTTACATGCGTTAACAAAAGGAAAACGATAGACAAGGTAAGAAAAGTACTAATAATTACAACAATGACGGAAGAATTAGAATTAAAGTAGGATAGAGATTTAGTATACCGCTTTGGTATAAATAACTGGGTTTTTGCTTTATTGGATTATCGACACCTTTGCTAACTGTTGCGGGGTGAACTGATAAAAAATTCATGTATTAGACTGTTGGAAGACCATAAACTTTATTCTAGTTAGTTAAACAGGTCGAATTATAAAAGATGGATTTGGAAATTTTGTACTTTGTGTGGGCAGGCTGTACAATCAGCTCCATATGATTGGATAGGCCGCTATCTTATCTTGCCTTGACTATGATTCTTCTTCCCCTGTTATAATGGCTTCATTGATAAAGTCATTACTTGCAATTAGGTGTGTTCTCTAAGCTGGTTAGTTTAATTGCGAAGCTTTCATCGTCCTTCTAAACAACATCTTCAGTTTTAACATGTAAATCGACTACCAGTCACGAAGATAGTTACCAGGAGACATAATTCTATCATTCATGGAGAATTTAAATCAGTTCGTTTTATGCTAAAACTTGCACTGAAGATGTTGTCCAGAGAGATGACGAAAGCTTCGCGATTAAACCAACCAGCTCAGAGAACACAACTAATTGCAAATCATCCACGTGAGCTACAAATCTTCTGTAATATTTTAAAAATTTATAACTATTATTTACATTACGTCTATCTTAACTATTCTTTTCTATCGTCTACACATGGAACAAATAGACTTTTTTCCCATAAATGCTGAAAATCATTATTATGAACTCATCGGCATCAGTTATTACGTGATCATTCAATGTCATAATCGATGTCTTAATAAACATACGAAATTGTAATTCTGATGTCTTTAATTAACATCTTGACCAGATAATAATAATAATTTAAAATCGGTATGAACGAAGATCATGTGGTATATAACTCTATAAGGCTATGTCACTGACTGACTGGTTTCAATGTAGAACTTTGCACAAAGTGCAGCAGTTCGAGTCACCACACTCCATGTAGCACATAAAGCAAGAGAAGAAAGTATAAATAGATGCAAAACAGCAACGGTAAACAGAGATATGAGGCAAAAAGAATAGTGATATTGGAGAACAATATAGTTTCATTGGATATTACAAGTGGAATCATCAGTGCCATCACTGAGAACGATTTGGAGTCATATCATCGTTTGACTATGTCAGCATCAATGTGATAACCAGTTTCTATAAAAGGCGATAAGATTAAAGTTATGGATTTATTTGGATCGAGGATTTCATCATGAGCTGTCATCACTTAGAGAACTGTTATGTACTCGTCGCCAAATTATTGTTATGGACTGGTCGAGAATTTAATAGTCCTGACGCAAGAAGACGGAAATCAGAAGACCACTAGGTTTGCGATGATACTTCTATTTTCCAAAACACCAGGAGAATCAATAAGTGGTATCACACCAAAGATAAGTGGACACACAAGATTATGTGAGCGAAATATGTATGAATGTCCAGACAAGTGTGTGAACAAATCAATAGACAGTCTTAACATGATTGGCTAATTATAATGGAATATCGATCCATATATACCTAGCAAATATAACAGACATGTCAAACAAACACACATATTATATATAATATAAGGGGAATATACATTGTTAAAGGAGACAGGTTCATCAAAGTGAAATGGTCACAGACTAAGCGAGCAAACAGAAAGAGAAACCACCATACACACATATATATATATGGATACATATCAAGAACTATTGGAAATTCTGGGAGTACTGGACAGGTGTTTCGTCCCGGTTGGGGACTCTTCAGCAATACACATCCTTTCTGAATCTTGGTGGTAAATAATCTCGAATTCGTAGACGAATTCCCGAGATCTGTAACTAAAAGGTGCTCTTACCTAATCTTAGCTCTTCGTCTTGCATATATTATTTGAAATATTCCTTTAGTTGTAGGATTTGGCAGGTTCGTCTACAGATTCGAGGACATTTACCAACTCTACTTCTGAAAGGATTAAGTTAAATGCACAAAAGTTTGAATTTTTATCACAAGTGGCGGATGAACCATATCACATTGTCCCTAACGAACGCTCTAAGGTTATGCATCACATTTCACTCACGTTTCCGACAATAGTCTGAAGTTGTTTGGATGTAAGATTGGCTAAGTCAGAACTAGTGTATACCAATAGGAACGCGAGCAGACGTCATTTCTATGGTGACAGAGCTTAGATTAAAATTTCTTCCCTCTCCCAAATGTTTCTTTTCTTCGTACATCGTGGAAACGAATTTAGTTATAATGTCTCATAATTCATTATATATATATATATATATATATATATATATATATATATATATATATATATATATATATATATATATATATATATATATATATCGTAGTATTGGTTTGTAGGGATTTTGATTGGCTGGAGGGTTTCATCATGACCTGATGTCGGTTAGAGAACCATTGGAAAACCAGCTGGGAGTACTGGACAGCTGTTTCGTCAGCCTAGTTTGGTACTCTTTAGCAGTACGCACCTACCGCCTTGTAACCAGAAGGTGTTGGGTTCGACCCCCGACATGTGTGTATTGTTGAGGAGTTCCAAATCAGGACGAGACGGCTGTCGAGCACTCCCAGGTTCTCCAATGGTTCATCTGATTTATTTCACATATTGATTATTTCACGATGAAGTAATATTCACCATTAAATGTTGAATTTCACAATAATTTTTTTAAATTGCATTCAGGAGGTCAGCACGTTTGTCACACAATTACTGCCTATTTGTTTTGTCGCCCTATAACTACTAATCTGTTATTCTACGTAAAATAATGTAACTGCCGGATAATTAGCTATTATTATAATGATGAAATAATCTGACGTGAATTAATTGTAAACAATATTTTGGCATTGAGACTGACTTTTTAATTGATGATATGGTGATATTTTGCTCTCTATTTTAACCAGACATGAACTTATTTGTTTAATGGAACAATATGTACATGTCTGTGTGCGTGTACTTTTTATAAAATGGTTCATTAGACGGAAAGCTTTTTTTGTGTTAATCTGTTTTGCTAATTATCATAAATTCAAAT